TTGAACAACCGATTCAAATTTGGTGCAAATCGGACTTTGTATGTGCAAATGGTGGCTTTATTAGACTACAATTGCGCCCCCTACAACTTCAAATTTGAAGTCTCTTACTAGGGAACACAAAATTATTAAAGTGTTTGCAAGAACAGAACTTGTGGCAAAATTTTGTAAGTTTTCGTGCATGTTCAGTGGGTCAAATATGACATCAAACAACAGCAAACTTGTTCTTTCCCAGGTTTTCCTGGGCTAGAACAAGTATAATTAAAGCCGCAAGCGGCGTCGAACGGCCCTCGCCGCACCGCGCGACTCCCCGCACCGCGCGCACCACCCCGTTCCACGCCGCCCCGCACCAAGCCACCCCGCACCACGCCGCCCCGCACCACGCCGCCCTGCACCACGCCGTCCCGCACCACGCCGCCCCGCACCAAGCCGCAACGCGCCGCTCCACAACGCCCCGCACTACGCCGCACTACACCGTACCACGCAGCACCGCTAAAAGGAGGTGGCACCGCCGTGTGATGATTTGTTTCCGTAGCCATAGAAGAATGTTAGTCAAATTGTAATGAATATGATAAGTAGAGCTGGTTTGGCTCCCCATGTAAACTTTGACACAGTCTGTAGGGGGCGCTAATGGGCCAATTTCCAATATTTCACTTTAACCTGACCTAAACCCTGGAATTGAACAATGGATTAAAGTTTTGTGCAAATCAGACTTTGTTTGTGCAAACAGGAGCAAAATTAATGTTGTGAAAAAGAGCCAAAAAAACCTCACATTTTGCCGCTCCGCTGCTCAAACAACGTTTCACGGATCAAAATTCCCTGAGGTCATTTTGATGGTACATGTGTTGAGATGATGTGGAGCGATTTTGAGGCGAATCGGTGAAACGGCCGAGGCTGGTTTGATGTTTGTGTGAGGTGTACATTTGCAATGAATGGGGAGCGTTTGTCGTCGCCACGGCAACAGGGTAAAAAATAAGCCTTGGACCCTATTGACTTTTTGAATCAAGAGGGCAAAACAGATTTATGTGCAAAATTTCAAACGTTTTGAAAAAACTAAATTTGAAAATGCCCATCTAAAACTTTGAAATAGTCTGTAGGGGGCGCTAATGTGTCAATTTGAATCAATTCACTTTCAAATGACCTAGACCCTAGAGTTGAACCATGGATTCAAGTTTTGTGCAAATCGGAATTTGTATGTGTAAACGGGAGCAAATAGAAGGTTGTGAAAAACGGCCAATAAACATCACATTTTGCCGCTCCGCTGCTCAAACAACGTTTCACTGATCAAAAATCCCTGGAGGTCCTTTTGATGGTACATGTGTTTAGACAATGTGGAGTGATATGGAGGCCAATCGGTGAAACGGCCGAGGAGGAGTCGCTTTCCAACCGACATGTATGAAAACTTTTGCTGTTCATTTTTCCATTTTGCAGTGAAATTTATGGGCCTCCTGTTTGTCAGAGGGCGGAGCCATGATAACATTTCGGTCGTATCGTGACTTGAGGAACATGTGTACCGAATTTCATGGCTCTACGACAAACTTGACCTCTGAAACTCCCATTGGCTGTTGTAGGTGGCGCTGTTCTGGCATTTTTTGAGTCCCATAAAAATAAACACCAAAATATCAAATTTTTCACCAGGTCTGATGTTTGGTCAAAATTTTACAACTTTTCATGCATGTTCAGGGGGTGAAATTAAGGCTCAAAGTGCAGAATTTGACATCTCTCGAGCAAAAACAATAGGCCCTTTCCCCGTTCGGGGCTCGGGCCTAATAAATAAAAAAGGAATTTTTTTTTTGACGTCTCGAGCAAAAACAATATAGGTTTCAATGGCACGTGATACATCATTTTAAAGCTTTTGAGTTTACGCACGCAACCGTCACGTTTTGGTGAGTGACGGGCGCTGACGCGTCCGTCACGCACCGCCACCATTTGTTTTCACCATTGTGAAAGCAATAGGCCCTTACCCCGTTCGGGGCTCGGGCCTAATAAAAAAGGATTTTTTTTTTTCGACGTCTCGAGCAAAAACAATATAGGTTTCAATGGCACCTGATACATCATTTTAAAGCTTTTGAGTTTACGCACGCAACCGTCACGTTTTGGTGAGTGACGGGCGCTGACGCGTCCGTCACGCACCGCCACCATTTGTTTTCACCATTGTGAAAGCAATAGGCCCTTACCCCGTTCGGGGCTCGGGCCTAATAAAAAAGGATTTTTTTTTTTCGACGTCTCGAGCAAAAACAATATAGGTTTCAATGGCACGTGATACATCATTTTAAAGCTTTTGAGTTTACGCACGCAACCGTCACGTTTTGGTGAGTGACGGGCGCTGACGCGTCCGTCACGCACCGCCACCATTTGTTTTCACCATTGTGAAAGCAATAGGCCCTTACCCCGTTCGGGGCTCGGGCCTAATTATTGATTAAAAAAGACTTGTTACAAAGAGATCTGACATTAAGCGTAGCAAGTTTCAAAGTTTCAGGATCAACGGTTGTGGTCGGCTGATTTTTACACGGAACATGAATTAGATTTTCCAGATTAGACTGATTAACTCCAGATGTCTTTCTGTAATGTATTCTTTGTGTTATCACTAAGGGAATGGCACAGGTGGCTTCATGACAGGGCCCCAGCCGGGTCTCTCCTCTAACTAGACCCTGTGCATCCTAGTGTTTAGAGATAAGAGGTGAGGAGGAAAGCGGGGGAGGAGGATGGAGAGGTGGGTGGTTCTTGGGGGGGTTGGAGGTGGATGGGTGTTAGGGGAGGGGCAGGAGTTGGGAGATGAACGAGGGGGGAGTGGGGGTGGAGGGGTTTTTCGGTGCTAAACGAGGGGGAGGTGGGGGTGGGGTTGGAATGGTTTTGGGGTTAGGGGATGGACCGGTGGATTTTGCGGGTGAATTTGAGTTCGAATTTGAGGGACGGGTGGTTTTTGTGGGAGAATTTGAGTTGGACGCCCTAGGTGGCTTTGGAGGTACGTATGGGGAGTAGTTATGAATGTTAGATAGGACTCTTGATCTGGCTACAGTGGGTGTGAGAGGAATAGTCTTCATCGCCGATCTTATCATGCCTGCAGAGTGTTCCGGTAATTCCAGTAGTGAAGGTGGCGATGGAAAACACAGGGAAAGGTCGTCCTCATTTTCCCTAGATGGAGTGGATGTGGCAGGGGGGACCCAAACCGGGTTTCACGTGAGCTGTAGGTGGGGAAGGTGCTGCTGAAGATGATGCAGTAGCCACTGCTGGTGCTGGTGGCGCTGATGACGCTGTGGCAGCCACTGCTGCTGCTGGTGTTGTATCCACTGCTGCTGGTAGCTGTAGTAGTAGTAGTAGTAGTAGTAGTGGTGGTGGTGGTGGTAGTAGTAGTAGCAGTAGTAGTAGCTGTAGTAGTGGTAGTAGTAGTAGTAGCAGTAGTAGTAGCTGTAGTAGTGGTAGTAGTAGTAGTAGTAGTAGTAGCTGTTACACCCTGGCTCTACAGGTGCAACATGAAAGGACAACAGGCAACTAAAAGTTAATATAATTTATAAACAAAACAAAAGTCTAGGGAAATAACACAAAGAAAACCAAAAAGGGGAAGACAGGTGTGGTGGTGAGCAGGGCTGCTGCTGCCAGGACAGAAAGAGAGATGGGTGGAGTCAGGGTGTGGTCTTATAGGCTCCCAGCAGGGAACCTGATGCAGGCTGGAAATCCTGGAAGTGGAGCCTGGAACTGGATCAGGTCTGAGTGGCAGCTTCACATAACACCCCCATCCATAAGCAAGTTGATCTCAAATCAACATGCAAACTAAACGCTCAAATCCTCCAATAACGCAGCGGTCCAGAGGGTTGAAGCAGGCCTCTCTCAACTGAAACAGCTCTCACCATGTCCCTAACATGTTCCTTCAAATACTTGTTCCAACCAGTGATGTCAAGATCATAAAATGCAGCTAAACTCAACAATTGTTCTTTGGTGAAATTTTCAAATAGCGGCATCGACGGTGACTGAACGGCACGGTGGCTGAGTGGATAGCACTCTCGCCTCTCAGCAAGAAGGTCCTGGATTCGAATCCCGGTCGGACCAGGGCCTTTCTGAGTGGAGTTTGCATGTTCTCCCCGTGTCTGCGTAGGTTTCCTCCGGGTACTCCGGTTTCCCCTACCACTAAAAATATGTCCAATAGTTCTGGCATGTGCCTCCTGTACTGGCGACCCCGCTCCCATCTCTGTGTGGAGTGAGAGACAAATGCCCAAAATTAACAATTGTAAACCGCTTTGAGACTCAGATCTGCAGTGAAAAGGCGGTATATAAATAAAAACTTACAAACTTACTACTTACTTACTTACAAAATCTGACACAGTAGTAGTAGTAGTAGTTGCAGTAGTAGTAGTAGTTGCAGTAGTAGTAGTAGTTGCAGTAGTAGTAGCAGTTGCAGTAGTAGTAGTAGTAATAATAGCACCAGTAGCAGTAGCAGGGCTGAAGGCTGAGGCAAATACCTAAAAATAGCCTCAGATATCAGATGAACAAACATATGACTGAACAAGGACTAAACTGGGTTCAGGGACTCCACCGAGACTTAGACTGAGTTGGACCACCCCAGACACCAGATCAGGACTCATTCAGGACCTCATCAGACTGAGACCCGGACTGAACAAGGACTAAAACCGTTTTAGACCGGGACTTACACTGCGCTAAATTGGGACCAGGTCAAAACTTGGATTTAAAGTTCATTGGATCCTCAAAATCTGACTCTGACTTCTGGACTGTACCTCCTGTGGACCTCGTCTGGCCCTAGTCTGGCCCTGGTCTGGACCGGAATCCTGTTATGTGGATTTAAATGTTGTTTTCCGAGTTCACAGGAAACACATGAGTTTTTACTTTCACTTTCTTCTGAGTCTGTTTTTTGCTCCTTTTCGTTTTTTTCTCAGTATACATACATCCACAGTATACATACCACCACAGTACACATACCTCCACAGTATACATACCTCCACAGTATACATACCTCTCAGTTTACATAACTCTCAGGACACATAGCCCTGATGGCCTGGCTGTTGTTTTCCGCTTTCTTCCCGTTTTTTCTGACTTTTGTTTTTCTGATTCTGTTCGTGCTGCTGCCAGGAGGCAAGAGCGGCAAGAAGACGGACGGAGTCAAGGTAACAATATACATGTCTCAGTATACATGTCTCAGTATACATGTCTCAGTACACATGTCTCTGTAAACATGTCTCAGTATACATGTCTCAGTATACATGTCTCAGTATACATGTCTCTGTATGCATGTCTCAGTATAAATGTCTCATTATACATGCCTCAGTACACATGTCTCAGTACACATGTCTCAGTATACATGTCTCAGTATACATGTCTCAGTATACATGTCTCAGTATACATGTCTCAGTATACATGTCTCAGTATACATGTCTCAGTACACATGTCTCTGTATACATGTCTCAGTATACATGTCTCAGTATACATGTCTCAGTTCACATGTCTCTGTATGCATGTCTCAGTATACATGTCTCTGTATACATGTCTCTGTATAGATGTCTCTGTATACATGTCTCAGTATACATGTCTCAGTACACATGTCTCAGTATACATGTCTCAGTATACATGTCTCAGTGTACATGTCTCAGTATACATGTCTCTGTAAACATGTCTCAGTATACATGTCTCAGTATACATGTCTCTGTAAACATGTCTCAGTATACATGTCTCAGTATACATGTCTCAGTATACATGTCTCTGAATACATGTCTCAGTACACATGTCTCAGTACACATGTCTCAGTATACATGTCTCAGTATACATGTCTCTGTATGCATGTCTCAGTATAAATGTCTCAGTATACATGTCTCAGTACACATGTCTCAGTACACATGTCTCAGTATACATGTCTCAGTATACATGTCTCCGTATACACGTCTCAGTATACATGTCTCTGTATGCATGTCTCAGTATAAATGTCTCAGTATACATGTCTCAGTACACATGTCTCAGTACACATGTCTCAGTATACATGTCTCAGTATACATGTCTCCGTATACACGTCTCAGTATACATGTCTCTGTATACATGTCTCAGTATACATGTCTCTGAATACATGTCTCAGTATACATGTCTCAGTGTACAAATCTCAGTATACATATCTCTGTAAACATGTCTCAGTATACATGTCTCAGTACACATGTCTCAGTACACACGTCTCAGTATACATGTCTCTGTATGCATGTCTCTGTATGCATGTCTTTGTATACATGTCTCAGTATACATGTCTCAATATGCATGTCTCAGTATACATGTCTCAGTACACATGTCTCTGTATGCATGTCTCTGTATACATGTCTCAGTATACATGTTTCAGTACACATGTCTCAGTACACATGTCTCAGTATACATGTCTCAGTATACATGTCTGTATGCATGTATCTGTATACATGTCTCAGTATACATGTCTCTGTATGCATGTCTCTGTATGCATGTCTCTGTATACATGTCTCAGTATACATGTCTCAGTATACATGTCTGTATGCATGTCTCTGTACACATGTCTCAGTACACGTGTCTCAGTATACATGTCTCAGTATACATGTCTCTGTATGCATGTCTCAATATACATGTCTCAGTATACATGTCTCAGTACACATGTCTCAGTATACATGTCTCAGTATGCATGTCTCTGTATGCATGTCTCAGTACACATGTCTCAGTATACATGTCTCAGTATACATGTCTCAGTACACATGTCTCAGTATACATATCTCAGTATACATGTCTCAGTATACATTTCTCTGTATACATGTCTCAGTATACATGTCTCAGTATACATGTCTCAGTACACATGTCTCACTATATATGTCTCAGTATGCATGTCTCAGTATGCATGTCTCTGTATGCATGTCTCAGTACACATGTCTCAGTATACATGTCTCAGTATACATGTCTCAGTACACATGTCTCAGTATACATATCTCAGTATACATGTCTCAGTATACATTTCTCTGTATACATGTCTCAGTATACATGTCTCAGTATACATGTCTCACTATATATGTCTCAGTATGCATGTCTCAGTATGCATGTCTCTGTATGCATGTCTCAGTACACATGTCTCAGTATACATGTCTCAGTATACATGTCTCAGTACACATGTCTCAGTATACATATCTCAGTATACATGTCTCAGTATACATTTCTCTGTATACATGTCTCAGTATACATGTCTCAGTACACATGTCTCACTATATATGTCTCAGTATGCATGTCTCTGTATGCATGTCTCTGTATACATGTCTCTGTATGCATGTCTCAGTATACATGTCTCAGTATACATGTCTTTGTATACATGTCTCTGTATGTATGTCTCAGTATACATGTCTCTGTATACATGTCTCTGTATACACGTCACAGTATGTATGTCTCAGTATACATGTCTCCGTATACACGTCTCCGTATACATGTCTCTGTATACATGTCTCAGTACACATGTCTCAGTATACATGTCTCTGTATACATGTCTCTGCATACATGTCTCTGTATACATGTCTCAGTATACATGTCTCTGTATACATGTACATGTTTCAGTACACATGTCTCAGTACACATGTCTCAGTACACACGTCTCAGTATACATGTCTCTGTATACATGTCTCAGTATACATGTACACATGTCTCAGTACACATGTCTCAGTATACATGTCTCTGTATGCATGTCTCAATATACATGTCTCAGTATACATGTCTCAGTATACATTTCTCTGTATACATGTCTCAGTATACATGTCTCAGTATGCATGTCTCTGTATGCATGTCTCTGTATACATGTCTCAGTATACATGTCTCAGTATACATTTCTCTGTATACATGTCTCAGTATACATGTCTCAGTACACATGTCTCACTATACATGTCTCAGTATGCATGTCTCTGTATGCATGTCTCTGTATACATGTCTCTGTATGCATGTCTCAGTATACATGTCTCAGTATACATGTGTTTGTATACATGTCTCTGTATGTATGTCTCAGTATACATGTCTCTGTATACATGTCTCTGTATACACGTCACAGTATGTATGTCTCAGTATACATGTCTCTGTATGTATGTCTCAGTATACATGTCTCTGTATGCATGTCTCTGTATACACGTCACAGTATGTATGTCTCAGTATACATGTCTCCGTATACACGTCTCCGTATACATGTCTCTGTATACATGTCTCTTTATACATGTCTCAGTATACATGTCTCAGTACACATGTCTCAGTATACATGTCTCTGTATACATGTCTCTGTATACATGTCTCAGTATACATGTACATGTCCCAGTATACATGTCTCAGTACACATGTCTCAGTACACACGTCTCAGTATACATGTCTCAGTATACATGTCTCTGTATACATGTACATGTCTCAGTACACATGTCTCAGTACACATGTCTCAGTACACACGTCTCAGTATACATGTCTCTGTATACATGTCTCTGTATACATGTCTCTGTATACATGTACATGCCTCAGTACACATGTCTCAGTACACATGTCTCAGTATACATGTCTCTGTATACATGTCTCTGTATACATTTCTCTGTATACATGTCTCCGTATACATGTCTCAGTATACATGTCTCAGTATACATGTCTCTGTATACATGTCTCAGTATACATGAATATTTGTTGCAGGAGTCGTCTGAGAGCACTAACACCACCATCGAGGACGAGGACACGAGAGGTACTGCAACTCCACCTTCTGTTCCTCTTCTTCTTACTCCACCTCCTGTTTCTCCATCTCCTCCTGTTCCTCCTCTTTCTGTTCCTCCTCCTCCTCCTCCTGCTCCTCCTCCTCCTACTTGTTAAGGAGACATGTGTTTGTTTGCAGCTCGTAAACAGGACATCATCCGTGTGACAGAGCAGCTCATTGAGGCCATCAGCAACGGGGACTTTGAGAGCTACACGTAAATCCACCACTGATTCACTGGATTATACTGGATTGTACTGGGATACACTATTACACTGGAATACACTGGATTATACTGGGGTTACACAGTTAAACTGGATTGTACTGGGATTACTTACTTAAAATTGAATATACTGGGACTACACATGGATTATACTGGGATTATACTGGGATTACACTGTAATATACTGAGATTACACTGTGACACTGGGATTATGTATTTTGCAGTAAAATGTGCGACCCTGCTGTGACGGCGTTTGAACCTGAGGCTCTGGGTAATCTAGTGGAAGGACTCGACTTCCACAGGTTTTACTTTGAGAACCGTAAGTCCTACTTTAGGTCTGGTTTAGTCCTACCTAAGGCCTGCTTTAGTCCTGCTTGACCTGCTTCTCTCCTCAGTCTGGTCGAAGAACTCCAAGCCGGTGCACACCACCATCCTGAACCCCCACATCCACCTGGTCGGGGAGGAGGCCGCCTGCATCGCCTACATCCGGGTCACACAGTTCATCGATGCCAACGGGTCGCCACGAACCGTCCAATCAGAGGAGAGCAGGGTGTGGCATCGCCGTGACGGCAAATGGCAGATTGTCCACTTCCATCGCTCTGGCTCCCCCTCCACCCTCAGCAAGTGAGTCAACACAGTCTACACTGAGTGTTCCGACAGAGTCTACACTGAATGTTCTGACAGAGTCTACACAGAGTGTTCCGACAGAGTCTACACTGAGTGTTCTGACAGAGTAAACACAGAGTGTTCCGACAGAGTCTACACAGAGTGTTCCGACAGAGTCTACACTGAGTGTTCCGACAGAGTCTACACAGAGTGTCCTGACAGGGTCTACAACATAGACAGTAAATATTAACGGACATAGTCACGCCTATCTCCGCCGTTCTAACTAATGTGCCATAACTTCTGTGGACAGTTTCAAAATTGCTGCGGGGGCTGGAAAATTTGAAAAAAACGCATCTGCACATGCGTCAGCTGCACGAGCCCCATTCATTTAACTAGTGACTTCAAAAATTCACAGCGACTAAACTAGACTGGACCAAAAAAATCCACCCCCCTCAGCATTGACACACATGTGGAACGGAGCTTTGGGCCAAGAGCCAACTTTTGGACCATCCTGTAAAGATGTTTTCCAGAGGTCTGCCAATGCTATATGTTAGCATTGGCTAATTCTTATCCCAGGTCCACCCCCATCGGCCCGGCGTGGTATTGCAATTTTGGCCACTTTTGAGCTGGGACCCGCACCCACTGGACTACACAAGTGTTTAGACACAGTCTACAAAGAGTGTTCTGACACAGTCTACACAGAGTGTTCTGACAGAGTCTACACAGACTGTTCTGACAGAGTCTACACAGAGTGTTCTGACACAGTCTACACAGAGTGTTCTGACAGAAACTACACAGAGTGTTCTGACAGAGTAAACACAGAGTGTTCTGACAGAGTCTACACAGAGTGTTCTGACACAGTCTACACCGAGTGTTCTGACACAGTCTACACAGAGTGTTCTGACACAGTCTACACAGAGTGTTCTGACAGAGTAAACACTTCTGACAGAGTCTACACAGAGTGTTCTGACACAGTCTACACAGAGTGTTCTGACAGAGTCTACACAGAGTGTTCTGACAGTCTACACAGAGTGTTCTGACACAGTCTACACAGAGTGTTCTGACAGAGTCTACACAGAGTGTTCTGACAGTCTATACAGAATGTTCTGACAGAGTCTACACAGAGTGTTCCGACGGAGTCTACACAGAGTGTTCTGACAGAGTAAACACAGAGTGTTCTGACAGAGTCTACACAGAGTGTTCTGACAGAGTAAACATAGAGTGTTCTGACAGTCTATACAGAATGTTCTGACAGAGTCTACACAGAGTGTTCCGACGGAGTCTACACAGAGTGTTCTGACAGAGTAAACACAGAGTGTTCTGACAGAGTCTACACAGAGTGTTCTGACAGAGTAAACATAGAGTGTTCTGACAGAGTCTACACAGAGTGTTCTGACAGAGTAAACATAGAGTGTTCTGACAGTCTACACAGAGTGTTCTGACACAGTCTACACAGAGTGTTCTGACAGAGTCTACACAGAGTGTTCTGACAGAGTCTACACAGAGTGTTCTGACAGAGTCTACACAGAGTGTTCTGACAGAGTCTACACAGAGTGTTCTGACACAGTCTACACAGAGTGTTCTGATAGAGTCGACACAGAGTGACCTGAAGTCTTTTCTCTTCCTGTCTCACAGTTAACTTCCATATAAGGGCGCGTCGCCCCAGGACATCAGCCTTGATTGACAGCAGGTCCAGCATCTGACATCATCGTTGAGTGGGAGGGACCCGATTCGTCGACCAATCAGCTTCCTCCTCCTTCACCTTAGTTCTATTTCAAAAGCAGGGAAGATGGTTGCCTCTGTATCTGGCAACACAACACACACTATACACACACACACACACACATTGTACAAACACACACACTTTAGTTTCTTACACTTTTTCCTAAGAGGAAACGCAGAGACAAATTGGAGATGGCTATAATTGGTTCTGATTGGTTCTATGTCTGCGGCTGAACCACTGCTTTCCTCCGGTTGAGTTTCATGAGGCGTTTATCAGAGTGATTTAGATTAGAGTATATTATATTAAAGGCTCATTTACCGTGTACGTAAAGAATGTTTATTATCAAAACTGCGTAGAGAATGTTCATTATCAAAACTACGTAGAGAATGTTTATTATTGAACCTAAGCTTACGCTTGGCGCTAACTCTTAGAGCTAACTCTTAGAGCTAACTCTTAGTGCTAACTCTTAGAGCTAACTCTTAAAGCTAACTCTTAGAGCTAACTACAATCAGCTGCACGTGAGTTTGTCCGAATTTGGCTTTTGTGGTTTGTCTGCGTTTCCTCATGGTTCAGTTTGTGTTTGTGAACTTTTTAAACAGTTTTAAACAGTTTTAAACCATTTTGAACAGTTTTAAACACATTTGAACTCATGTGAATCTTTCACTTTGCTTCTTCCGTGGAGCGATTTTCCACCGTCTCCGAAACCGAACTGCGATCTTCCATACGTCTGTCAGGGGAGCGGCCTGGAACGGGGATGCTAACGAGGACCACGTGCTGACACAGGGAGGCTAACGGTGACCATGTGCTAACATATGGATACTATTGGCAACCACGTGCTAACTCTGGGATCATCTTAGTTATAATGACATCGAGCTCCTCTGGCCCCCCACTCCATGTTTGGACTTCCTGGAGTCTTCCTGACTCCGCCCTCTCTATGTTTGGACTTCCTGTGGCTGAAAATGTGTACAGTTGCATGACTTGTGTTTTGTTGTCTCAGAGCCACTGCGGAGACAAGATGGCTGCCGCCTCCAAAGCCTTCATAACTGAGCGCGTCGTAAACGCAGATTTGAAAAAAATGTCACTCAAATACTAGATCATAGTTTTACAGATGTGATAGTGTGCTAATAGGGCTAATGCGCTAATGTGCTGATGTGAATAACTTTGTCGCTTCACCGTCTGCTCTCCTGAAGTTGTAAAGACTGAATAATGACAGGAATAATACTCGAGTATCTTTTAGAGTTTAGTACAACCCGCCGCCGCAACGTCTCGTGTCCGCAGCCACCTCAGGGAGACCGCTCAGAGGTTCCTCTGAGCGGTCTCCCTGAGGTGGTCTCTCTGAGTGGTCTCTCTGAGGTAGTTTCTCTGAGGTGATCTTTCTGAGGTGGTCTTCTCTGAGGTAGTCTCTCTGAGGTGGTCTCTTTGAGTGGTCTCTCTGAGGTAGTCTCTCTGAAGTGGTCTCTCTGAGGTTGGTCTCTCTGACGTGCTCTCTCTGAGGTGGTCTCTCTGAGGTGGTCTCTCTGGGTTGGTCTCTCTGAGTGGTCTCTCTGAGTGGTCTCTCTGAGGTGGTCTCTCTGGGGTGGTCTCTCTGAGTGGTCTCTCTGAGTGGTCTCTCTGAGTGGTCTCTCTGAGGTGGTCTCTCTGGGGTGGTCTCTCTGAGGTGGTCTTCTCTGAGGTGGTCTCTCTGAGTGGTCTCTCTGAGGTAGTCTCTGAGGTGGTCTCTCTGAGGTTGGTCTCTCTGACGTGCGCTCTCTGAGGTGGTCTCTCTGAGGTGGTCTCTCTGGGTTGGTCTCTCTGAGTGGTCTCTCTGAGTGGTCTCTCTGAGGTGGTCTCTCTGGGGTGGTCTCTCTGAGTGGTCTCTCTGAGTGGTCTCTCTGAGTGGTCTCTCTGAGGTGGTCTCTCTGGGGTGGTCTCTCTGAGGTGGTCTTCTCTGAGGTGGTCTCTCTGAGTGGTCTCTCTGAGGTAGTCTCTGAGGTGGTCTCTCTGAGGTTGGTCTCTCTGACGTGCGCTCTCTGAGGTGGTCTCTCTGAGGTGGTCTCTCTGGGGTGGTCTCTCTGAGGTGGTCTCTCTGAGGTGGTCTCTCTGAGTGGTCTCTCTGAGTGGTCTCTCTGAGGTGGTCTTCTCTGGGGTGGTCTCTCTGAGTGGTCTCTCTGAGGTGGTCTTCTCTGGGGTGGTCTCTCTGAGTGGTCTCTCTGAGGTGGTCTTCTCTGGGGTGGTCTCTCTGAGGGTGGTTTATCTGAGGTGGTCTCTCTGAGTGGTCTCTCTGAGTGGTCTCTCTGAGGGTGGTCTCTCTGAGGTGGTCTCTTTGAGTTGGTTTGATCTTTCGCCTTATCACTTTACTATAATGATGAATATTCAGATGTATTTATGACGTTTGATATGAGCTGCTTTGTATGTGCTGCCCCCTTCTGTCGCCCCCGCGTCACCTCTCCACCACAGTAACCGGGCTTTGGACCACCACAAACTGTTGTCATGACGACAACACAGACAAGCAGAAACATTGACCTGAAATTAAAAAAATGCGTTTGTTTCAATCACATTTTAAAGCTGATCTACGGCGTCTGTAAGGGCTTGAAAGGAAAGGCAGCGCTCTGATTGGTTCTTTTATCTTAGAGCAGTCTGATTGGCCAGTTAATCTCAGAGCTTTCTGATTGGTCAGTTCTCTGAGCACTCTGACTGGTGGAGGCGTGACATGGTGCTGAATGGATGTTTTGTAAGAACTTTTTTGACACTTGAATTTCTCGACGCCTTCGGATCTTTTATTTATTTTAATTGAGCACAAATCAGACACAGAGCCGTAGTCGAGCGGGGCGGTCTCCATGGCAACAGAGTATACAAGCGGTCTCCGGGGTAACAAAGAGCTTCAACCTCTGACTCCACTGTTTTGTACTTCAACAAACCATTGATTTGGAAGGACATGATGTATATATGTTATGTGTATATGCATAACAGTGAGTCACAGAGGGTGCTGTAGAGCTGTGCACATTTATTAGGAGAATTCTGCTTGTCTAAAAGCACAAGATGGCCACCACAGTTGCCATGGTGACGGTCCCTGATATTTAGAGTGTAGTGACGTTGTGTTTTGTGAGGTTTTTTTATTCTCTGATTGAAAAAACAGCAATAAACTTGTTAGATTTGAGTCTGAACTCGCACCAACGAGACGATTGGACCAGCGGTAGTAATATTGAAAGAATCTTATAAACCTAACACCAGAACTCCCAGAGCAGTCAATCTGACGGCTTTTGGATTTGGAAGTGTGATTACAGCTCATGTACATGTGTGATCTTCATCACTTTGACTGTTTCTGTTTCTACGTGTAGTTAATTTCTATGTCACTATTGTCATCAAATTATCACTATTTTGAAATAGTTTGACTTAAATCTTAAACTCCATTCATTGGACTGGAACAGTTAGATATAGCCTTTTTTGGTTGCTTACTTTATCTTGCAGTTAAAGCCTGTTTCCCAAGGTGCCGGGGCTGGATTTGCTCTGGACAAGTCCTGGACTGGATCTGGATCTGTATTGAACTGGTTTTGGACTGGTCCTGAATTTGTTCATGGACTGGTGCTGGTTCTATCAGCAGCTGAAACCATGTGCTCCTAGAAGAGGAGTTTACTGTAGAAGTTCAGATTACACTTCCACCCACATCCACTACTCACTCGTTCATCCACATTCACTACTCACTCGTTCATCCACATTCACTACTCACTCGTTCGTCCACATTCACTACTCACTCGTTCGTCCACGTCCACTACTCACTCGTTCGTCCACATCCACTACTCACTCGTTCATCCACATTCACTACTCACTCGTTCGTCCACGTCCACTACTCACTCGTTCGTCCACATTCACTACTCACTCGTTCATCCACATTCACTACTCACTCGTTCATCCACATCCACTACTCACTCGTTCATCCACATTCACTACTCACTCGTTCGTCCACGTCCACTACTCACTCGTTCGTCCACATTCACTACTCACTCGTTCATCCACATCCACTACTCACTCGTTCATCCACATCCACTACTCACTCGTTCATCCACATCCACTACTCACTCGTTCGCCCACATTCACTACTCACTCGTTCATCCACATTCACTACTCACTCGTTCGCCCACATTCACTACTCACTCGTTCATCCACATCCACTACTCACTCGTTCATCCACATCCACTACTCACTCGTTCATCCACATCCACTACTCACTCGTTCATCCACATCCACTACTCACTCGTTCATCCACATTCACTACTCACTCGTTCATCCACATTCACTACTCACTCGTTCATCCACATTCACTACTCACTCGTTCATCCACATCCACTACTCACTCGTTCATCCACATTCACTACTCACTCGTTCGTCCACATTCACTACTCACTCGTTCATCCACATCCACTACTCACTCGTTCATCCACATTCACTACTCACTCGTTCATCCACATCCACTACTCACTCGTTCGCCCACATTCACTACTCACTCGTTCATCCACATCCACTACTCACTCGTTCGCCCACATTCACTACTCACTCGTTCATCCACATCCACTACTCACTCGTTCATCCACATTCACTACTCACTCGTTCATCCACATCCACTACTCACTCGTTCATCCACATTCACTACTCACTCGTTCGTCCACATCCACTACTCACTCGTTCATCCACATCCACTACTCACTCGTTCGTCCACATTCACTACTCACTCGTTCACCCACATCCACTACTCACTCGTTCGTCCACATTCACTACTCACTCGTTCGTCCACATCCACTACTCACTCGTTCATCCACATTCACTACTCACTCGTTCGTCCACATTCACTACTCACTCGTTCATCCACATCCACTACTCACTCGTTCATCCACATTCACTACTCACTCGTTCGTCCACATTCACTACTCACTCGTTCATCC